CTAAAAGCATATGTCATAAAAAAAATTGTGTAGAGACCATTGAACAATTTCTAATTTGATGAGGGGCCAAATTGGAAATACTAAAACTTAAGTAATTAACCTAATTCTGGTTATCTAAAGGGTCATGGTCCCCTTCTGGGAGCACACACAGAACATAAGTATCAGTCCCGTTCCTTTTTTTCTATCCCCATCAAGAGAAAAAATCAAGAAGGAAATACAGGTGCTCTTCAGGTGGAAGATCATAAGATCAATATAGTGTTCTACAAAGACATCATCATTATGACTAATTCAAGTACGCTTTCGCATTCAGTTTACAACATGTTTATCAGTATGGGATTACGTTTATGTTTGATCGTTAGAATCAAAATCAAGATTATTATTATTATTATTATTGTTTTTCCAACATTCAAGACATAATTATATCAATTTTTTACCACTTAACAAGTCGCTGGATTATGTGATGATTAATAGTTTAAGATAATCATTGTATTTAAAGTCTTTCTGACAGTGGGTTAAGTAAGCGTATCCCATTGTTATGAATGACAGTACATGGAAGGACCACTAGTAAACTCGAGAGGATGTACCAATGTGAAGGGACTCATACTTGAAGGGAGATTGTTAAGAAAATTCAAGTGTGAGTTTAAATCTCACATTGTATAAGAATGGTGAAGTTGAACAACATAATAAGAATTTAGATCCCTAAGTAAGCAATAACTATAAAGTCAAACCAAGGGAGGAAACAACAACACTACAGTTGGGGTAGCCTAGCCAAAACACTAGGGATGGCAAAACGGGTCAGCCCGTCCCGTTTTGGCCTGCCAAAAGCGGGGCGGACTGACCCAATATAGTCATGACGGGCTGTAGACCTTGGTCCGCCCGCCAAGGGCGGGTTGTGAGCTAACCCGCCATAATTTAGAAAAAAATAATTTTTTTTAAATAATTTTTTTTAATAAATTTAATAATAAGATTATTATTTTTTGTCAATAATTCTATATATATATATATATATATATATATATATATATTATTTCAATTTAATAATATAAATCAATACATTATTTTAAGAAATTATAATTTAGAACAATAATAAAATTTACATAATAATAAATAATAACAAATATATATATATAAATAACGTTAAACTTATAAAATTTATATTTTTTATATTGAAAAATTCAAATACCTATATCTTTTTTATTTGATAAAACTTCATATTATTCTTGGTTGAGTAATTCTTACACCTTTAATTCAAGTAATAAGGATAAAAATAATCGGTGTTTAGGATAAACAAGGAGAACATGAGAGAAAGTTATGTTTTAGGAAGGAAAATATTTTTTGTGAGAATGAAACTTTTTTAATTCTCTTTCTAAACTTTTTTAATTCTCTTTCTAAAATTTTTAATTTTATATATTATCTTTATAATTAATTTTATTATAATAAAAAATTATTTTATTATTAATTAGGTGGGTCGTGGGTCGGCCCGCACTGTCTCGCGAGTTGGCCGACGGGTTAGCGAGTTTGGCGGGACGGGCCAAAGCGGGCTGGTGGGCTGAAAACACCAACCCCCCGCCATATTATGGCGAGCTGGCAGGCCGGCCCGCCGGACCTAGCCTGTTTTGCCATCCCTACAAAATTCCAAGATACGATTGTCTTTTTCAGGCAACATGCGAAATCTTCTCTTGGATGTCCTAAGGCAAAACATGGACTTATTTGCGTGAACAATTGTAAACATGCTAAGAATAAACCCAAGATTATGTGTCATAGGCTTTTTGTGTATAAGGAGCACACCCCATAGCTCAAAAGAAAAGGAAGATGAGTGAGGAGTAGGGATGTCAAAATAAGCCTAACGTGATGAACCTACCCGAAAGGCCCGAAAAATAGGCTAGACTAGGCCATAAAATTTGTGACCTATATTGAATCAGACTTATTTTTTTCTTGCCTATTTGGATCATGACTTATATGGGCTTAGATCAGGCTAGCCCATAGGCTTATAGGTCAACCCATTTTATAGAATAATAATTATATTTAAATAAAATTAAAAATAATATTATTATATTAATATATATATATATATATATATTTATAAATTAATTTTACAGAAATTCACTTATATCAAAATAAATTTTTAATAATCACTTATTCTAAGATCTAATGATTAAGATTAATGACTATTTTAAATTAATAAATTACTAAAAATAAATAATAATAATAATAATAATAATAATAATAATAATAATAATAAAGAGTAAGTTTTTAATTCTTATTTTGAGATTGAATGGATACATTTTCTTATAATTTATGTATTAAATCATCATATCTTAAAAAAAACTAATCTCATTAATAAAATTTAAATTTTTAAAATATATTTTAATTAATTGATTTTGTATAAATATGTCAATTTTTTTTTAAATTCAATCAGGTTAAAATTGTTCTCATTAGCCCGTTGATCTAACATAAGGTCATACTAAACTAAATTTTTTTGTCTATTTTAAAATATAAGCTAGTTTAGACCATCAAATTTTTTTACTTGGCTCATAAGACTAAACTAGGTTGACTCGCCCGTTTTTATATCTCTAGTGAGGAGCAAAGAAAAACAGCCGAAAGTGAAGTCGACAAACTTTTGGAGGCAAGTTTCATAAGGGAGGTACATTACACCATATGGGTGGCCAGTGTTGTTCTTGTCAAAATATCAAATGGAAAATGGTGCATTCCTTCTCGCCTCATCTTTGTCAGAGACGGGAGTGTAGCTACTGAAGGAGCACTCTCGGAAACTCCCTTGCCCTTGTTAACACCAATGATAACAGTCTTTATCTCAATTGATGGCATGTTCTTTTTTCGCAATGGTTGAAAAATCATTTGCTTGTGGGGAAAATAACATCCATGATATTTACATTAAAGCTACTAATTCAACACAATTAACAATGAAAGTAAAATATAATGAATAAGGGGCAAAATTATACCAAAAATATCACTTCAACCGTAAAGATAAATATGTTGTGAAAAGCTTTTAGTGGGAAGTTGATGGGAGAGTTTGTCCAAAATGTCTAGATTTTGAATATCAAATGGACACCTATTGGTTTTCAGCCAGTGGGATAGTGGATCGGATTCAAAGTCCAATAAAATAAAAACGTTGTTTTCTCTCCATCATAAAAATACATTTGTGCATCCTATTCCACTTGCACCTTAAAGAAACTCGTCTTGAAGTTCTTAAAGGATGAAGTATACGTGGCAAAAACTGTATTGGAAGGTTGACCTATAAGTAACAACTAACTCACTTGGTCACTAGGGCGAGTGTTAAAGTGATGAAGGAAAATCAAAGGAGTCGTTTTTGGGTGCAAAACGTCACATATCAACCTAAAAGCTTGGAGGATGACCCAATTATTGTGATGAAGTTAGGTAGGAGCCACATTTAAAAATTGTAGCATACCCATCGTGAATTCATCTAGAGGAAATCAAATGTGTCATTCCCCTACAAACCTACACCTTGCACTTTATCCCCACTACAATTGCTAGAAGCCGGCAAAGTAGAGTCAATAGTAACTACACTCTCTTCGTTACAACAATTTGACACCTCCCATGTCCTTTGGACAAATGTACCAAAAAGCTCTTTGATAGAATTGTTAAAACGGGTAACTCGGTCTAGACTAGCCTAACTCTACGAGTCAAGCAAAAGAAAATTGATGACCTAAATGAACCATAATTTTTAGTCTAGTTTGATCCTATATTAGGTCAACAGGCTAATAAGTCAATTTTGGTTTGATTAAACATTTTAAAGAAATTATTAATGTATCTATACTAAAATAAATATTTAAAAATATATTTAAATATAAAATAAAATATATTTTTAAATTTTAAATTATATTAATAAAATTAATTTTTATTTAAGATATATAATTTAATATATAAATTATAAAATAATTAATTCATCCAATCTCAAGATAAGAGTTAAAAACTTAATTTTCATTATCATTATTAATTTTTTTAGTAATTTATTGATTTAATATAATAATTAATCTTAATAATAAGATATTGTAATAAGTGGTTGTTAAATGTTTACTTTAATATTTACTCTTAAAATAAGTTAATTCTTGACCAAATTAATTTATAATACATATATATTTTTTAATAAAATAATATTACTTTTATTTATTTTAAAAAATAATTATTATTCTATAAAATAGACCGATAGCTTAATCTAAATTTATGTAAATTATGATTTAAATAGATTAGACTAAAATAACTCTAATTAAATTTAAATTATAAATTTATTTACCTAATCTAACCTATTTCTCCAATTAGCTTATTGAACTAAATTTATTTTGTCACCTATACTCTTTAGTTGCAGAAGAAACCAAGCACATTCTCAAGTTACACTCTCGGAACCCAGAGCTCGTAGCAATATGTGGTCCTAAAAACCCACCTTTTACTTATAGACTATTGATCTCACGACAGAGATCCATCACCTAAATGCAAAAACATCACATCTATGTTTAACTTTTCCCTCCAAAACACCTTATAGAAAGTGTGCACGAAAAATCCCTTCATTCGACTCTTTGTCATCTGCGAACTCCTCAAGCCTAGGAGACTAGTAGGTAAGAGGAGTCGGAGAGACGTCGAAACATCCTACTAATGATCATGAAATTTTTTTGTTTAAAGGCTCACAAACTTCTCCATTGCCGAAAAGCTCCCTAATACTCTATTTGTTTCCATTGATATATTGTTGACGAAGATAGAAACACGAGGATGACACACGTTTGGTTCAACAAAAATACGACGAAATGAAAGCGAGGAAAAGCGGGAGATGGGAGAAAGAGGTTCTTCGCTGATGCACGAAGAAAAGAGATGAAAGCCCCCTGGACAAATTGAAATGTCCAACTTACCCTCACTCTGCAAGATTCACTGGTGCATGCATGCAGAGAGATTCTTAAGAATCTCTGCAAAAAGTTGAGAATCTCTTCAAAACTTGTTTCACATGCTTCAACAGGGATTCAACCCTATTTTTATAACCCGTGATCACAAGCAAAGTTCTCACGCCATCCTCCCTCCATTGCAGTTCTCACAGCAGCCTCCATTGAAGCTCTAGAGAAGATCAATACATGCTACACAATGTTAGGTAAGATTAGTCCATGTTTTTATCATGCAAATGTTTCACCCCATGTCATATATTCAAGCTCAACTGATATTACACTAGAAAACGTTGATTTATCAACCTTCTTTGCCTAAGTAATGATCTTTGACAGAGAGAATCTTTTTTTAATAAAAATTCACCAGCATGTCCGCTTTTTCATCCTTCTTCAGAATCATATGCCTATGATGAGACGAAATGATCTGAGGGTAACCGAATCGAGTGAGGGAAACTGATACCGCATTGTCAGGATGAACGAATTCATCTCCACCATAGGCCATCATCAAGGATGAAGCTGCTTGCTTAAAATAGAAAGCGCAGAACAACCACCCAGATTTTCGACCAAGGTGAACCAACCACCCATATTTCCGACCAAGGTGAACCAAACACCCAGATTTCCGACCAAGGTGAATAATGCGAATAACAACAAGATGGATCCCCACATAGAGTTCCTTGTTCAGACCATCAAAGATCACTAAAGCACCTTTTGGTATGACGATCTCTGTTTTCAACCTCCATTAAAGGTCCACCGAATAATATAGGTAAGCTTCTCCTTTATGGCGCCAACCATAATCGATTATGGTGCATCTTCTTCCTCCGACGGTTTATGCATCGTTCTGGCGCCAGACTCTCCTCCGATGGGCGCCTCTCTGGCCGCCATGGTGGACCTCATGGCTGCAGCTAATCCAGTCATGCATGCATGAGAAAAGGCCAAACCTCGTCGACTCCAACAAAAAATGGGCAGTACACCATCATGGTTTCTGACTTGGTTATGTTGTTGTTGCAGGCTTAGGGGTGTCGTCAAGTTTGCCATCAGCTTGTCCCACGAAGAGCTTCGTTCATATCTTTTCTCATAGGTATAGTTGATATGTTGTCTTCCATGATTGCAACCTGAACTGGTTCTAATGCTGTACTCCATGCATTTTTTTATTTCGACTACTAGTAAATATCGAAACACTTAGTAATTAGTTCATTGGAATTATTGCCTTTGTTTATCATTTTGCAAGATTATGATGAAAAGAAACAAAGAGATGATGAAATTTATTTCTGGTTTAGAAACACAACTCAGTTGAGTCCCAAAACTGAATTTTTGTTTATAAGTCGTGTACACATTAGACAATAAAAAATATAATTGCGTGGTTGAGCATGTACTTTGATATTTTATCTTTTAAAAGTTTCAAACTTAAAATATTCTCTTTTTGATAGAAAAAGTTGTCCAAACATGAAGGTATACGAGTGAGAGTTTCTGCAAAATATATATGTTATCAAATCAGAAACCTAACAAAATAAGAATAGAAAGAGTGAAACGTACAAATATTAAAATAATTGTAAGGTTGGATTGCTTCTAGGCTCATCCACATGACAGGTCCATTTGAAAGGTGTGGAATGGGCCCAAGATAAGGCTATTGAACCCAAGTTTTAGATATATTAATATAAAATACTTTTATTATAAAATAAAAAATGTTATATACACAACTACAGAATGATCATTCAACGTCAGGTGTGGAAGGCATTCAACGTCGGTTCCACTGACGTCGTTGATTCAGGCGTCGTTGAATGTCAAAGGATTCTACGTCGGTTCAGAATACCCGACGTTGAAAGTGATATATATCTACGTCGGTTAACCAAAAGTTCGTCGTAGAAATTAATAAATTCTACGTCGGTTATTGAACTAACCGACGTTGAAAGTCCTTTCTCGCTCAAGCGACCGGTGTACTCGCTTGAGCGACGAAGCTTTCAAACAAAGGGGACTCTCGGGTTCTGTATCGCTCAAGCGACCCCTGTATCGCTCAAGCGACCGACGTTACAACGTCGGTTAATGCAATAATCGACGTAGAATATCCCTTTTTTTTTTTAAATGTAGGTCCTGTTTTAGTGCCACCAACAAGTACACGACTTGATGTAATCTCAGCTCGCATAAGATATTTATTTCAGCTAATCACTAATATATAAAATGATAGATATATATGTCAAAATCAGCCAAATTATGTACAAAATACACAAAAAATTATCAATCAATCCTATTCCTAACTACTTGTACAAACTTTTCTCGCCCATTTGTTTCTAACCATGTCTATAGTATCCATAGGCAAAGGTTCTATATCTTTAAATGCCCGTAAGAAGTTCACAATAATAGAATGGTAAACCCTAAGCAATAAAAATAAAGGAATTGAATATAATAGCAAATGTCAACTTACCTCATTCCAACTATCCCGAATGCTACCAAAAATGATGAGCCACATCCAATACATTACATAGTAGCCGCACTCGTATCCTCCATTTTGTTTGTTACACTAAAATGACTAAATATGTTAAAAATAACTATTAAATTTGAACATAAATTAATAGATAGTATAATATATATAAAGGCTACTTACTTTGATAAAATTCCAATTTGGAGTTGTGCTTTTACTTGTGTGTTTTCCACCTAATGTACTACAAACCTTTAGAGCACTATATATTGAAAAGAAGGGGGTTAGAAATAGAATAATCAAGATGTTTAGACATAATATAAGAAATACTTACTCGTTTACAATATTTTTTAGCTCCATGTCAGGTTTCCTTCCCAATGAGCAGAACCAACACACAAGATTCTGATTTGGACAAATAACTAATAGCTGCCAAGTGGTTTCTGTATATACACATGATTAGAATCTATTAAAAAACTTGTGTAAAACCGTAAGAGGCTGGGATAACTTACGAATGATGGTATGCTCCAAGGTAAATATCTCTTTTAGAATCGGTGATCCAATTCTGCATGTAACCGAGAATTTGATCACGCTTATTCCCGCACTTTTGTATGGATTGAGGCTCGAAGAATCCATACACATGACCAATGCCCTGCTCCACTATCATTTCGTGCATCATCCTAAAATATGCCAATTTAAGTGAACTTATAGCTTATATATTTACTAAAATGAAAAGAGTCATGAAAGATATGAACTTACAATGTCCAAAATTGTAAAACAGCCTATATTTAGACATTGATTGCCCATCCCAATCTCCAGGGCATCAGTGTGGGAAATGTATAGGGGGATATTGCTAGAAGCCATCCCAAATAATGTACAATCCCATGGAACTTGGAATGACTGCAGATACAATTGTGGGGAAAGAGACAAGAGATAAAAAATTGGATTTGGAGAAGTCTCCACAACTGGTGTCTTCTCCTTAGATGCAAAAGGAGTGGCAATAGCTTTACCCAAGTCTTTTGGCTTCCGAACATCCTACATATTTTATAAAATATAATCATAAACAATAAATCAATTTATTTATGTGTTAGATGTATTATAACCATACATATACATACCTTTGCCATTATTGACCTAACTAAATGTCTGGGCCAAGTAATGAAGGTCCGAAGGGCTTGGCCCACTGTCTCGCACCTCTTCGGTGGGGATAGGGACACTAGCCGCAGCGTCAACCACCTTTTCAACCACTACTTTGACCAAGTTAGGATCCAAAGGCACATTGTGGATGGTTGAAGCCCCTTCATGAACTGATCCATGGGCCACTAGCCTTAGACCTTCATCTACCTCAACCCACAAGTCATATCGATCATCCTTTGTGGATTCGGGATGAATAGATGCCACCTCGAGTGTGACCTCGATAGTGGCTTCAAGCACAACCGCCCTTTGTGCTAACTCTTGGACCTACAAATACAGTAAATTCCAATAAGGACTAAGATTTTAGAAACATAAGTCAAGTACTAATTTGTGGTTGAAAATGCACTCGATGGAGGATGAGCATCAAGCAAATGAAGTACCCATGGAGGTCATACGCGAGAACCTGCTCTCCTCAAGTCGTGCGCCGATGGCAGGAGTCAACTTTTCCTCCAATTTTGCCCCGATGGCTAGTGTCAATTTCTCCGTGAGAGCCATCTCCAAGGCAGCAATATCTTCTTGGCTCGTGGATGTGGAGGTGCGGATATCCCGTGATGGTGGTCCAAAATACCGTCTGACACCCACACCTTGGCCAACAGCTCGAACACGACCTGGATGTTCTCGGTCGTCCAATAGCAAGTGGTCAAGATATCCCGACGACCGTAAGGGATGAAAGTTCCCCGTGTACACTCGCTCCTCCAAGGCATCCTACATTATAAAAGTTAATTTTATTAATGAACAAGTTACATATAACTAATTCAAAGTAAATTAACTTCTTGTACTTACAATCCGAGCAAGCAATTTCTCAGGCTTCCTACGATGTCATGTCACCGAAGGCTTTGTACGAGCCCTCTTCCACTTCTGGTGACGTTTTGGAGGAGATGGTGGAGGAATCTGCTCTTCGCTTAAACCGGAAGAGGCTAACTCCGACTCGTCGAAGTCTCATCTTCTCCTCCATCATCTTCTTTGTCAATAGGTCGTACCCACCACGAGATAGAAGGTGGGGGCGACATTCTTGCTCTGAATGTCTTTTGCTTTTTGTCTTCTTTCCCGCAACATAATTGAACACAATATTAGATACACAACTCATTATAAAATGTTCAAGTCAATTAAGCAATTAACATTACCTCCCACTCGAACCAGTCCTACTATGTACAAACTTCTTCCAAGTGTCCTCATCTATGCCATATCTTTGGCAAGGGGTTAATCCCTTCCTAACTTTGTCCTCAGCATACACCCATTTAGTGGTCAATGTGGACTTGAACTGTCTCCACATTTTTGCTATGGCTGTCATTATCTTCCTCCTCACATCCTCGAATTGACTATATCAAAGTGTTCCTACAGATAGCAAACAAGTTTTAGTTAACCAATTGATAATAATGTATAAACAATATAAACAACTAAATACACATACTTACAAGAAGATCTTGCCATAACAAGTTCTTCACAGTTTCCTCCACATGATCCCAAGTAGGATGGAGAATAGATATCTACACAACATAAACAACATAAGTATCAACAATATATTTGAAATGAAATTAACTTTGAAATAGAATAAATACCTTCTCTCTAGCTAGTGTACCCAAGTAGCTACTAAATTGGGTACTAAAGCGACCTGACACCTTGCCAGTCCTAGGATCAACAGACACAAATAACTTCTGGCCAGATATGTGTCTAACGGTCAAGCCTTTCAACTGTGTAGATTGTCGACTCCTCTTACTGAAAAATGTCTTTCCAGATGCCTGAGGAGATGGTGGTGGAGATGGTGGAGATGGTGGAGGACATGGTGAAGGACATGCCATTTACCTGTAATGAAAAAAACATAGAATTATATCAATACACATGCAAAGTCTCCTCAATTACATGTTAAAAAAATAAACAAATAGAAACATAACTTAGATTGTATTAATATTTTCCCATATGCCTTCATCATGGTCATTGCGAGTAACATGAACAAAGTCCTCTTCCAATTGAGATATAACAATAGGCAACCGTGGTGAATTTTGAATGTTAATAAAATCATCTAATTCTTCTCCATTCTCATTTGTGACATCAATCATTTTTCCTTTGAGGACAACTGACCACCTATCATTTGATGGATCAGTGACATAAAACACTTATTTTTCCTGGTATGCCATTATGAAGGGTTCTTCCTTATGACCAATCTTGTTTATATCAATCAAAGTAAATCCCATTTGGTCTCTTTGGACACCAGTATTGCTATCAACCCATTTACATTTAAATAAAGGCACTTTGAATTTAGTATAGTCGACCTCCCAAA